GAAGAAGAAGAAGAAGAAGAGAGGAAGAGACTGAGAAAAATTGCAGATTGCAGATAATGGAAAATTAAAAAAAAGTGGAAAGCCTTCATCAGGATTCACAGCACGAAAACCTATCGCTCCAGAAAAATGCTATTAAAGCCCCCGCACGATACTAAATCCATTAAAAAAGTTATATAGATTTYATATTTAAAGAAAATAGATCAGTTCACCCAGCGGTTGCCAAGAAAAACCTTTATCTGTTAGTCGTCAAGGCAACAACAATTACCCACTACGTCACTGCAAATCTTATGTTGTGTTCATACAGGAAAAATGGCCAATTAGTTGTCTGTGACATGTTAAACAAAACATTACACAAATTCTATTCAAGAAAAGCAAACAAAAGAATGTTTATCCATGATCGTTTGACTCATTGTAAATGTTTCGGTTGAAAAGTTTTAATTTTTAAAATGAAAACATGACGTTTTTGTGGTCATAATGAAGAAGACTATAATATACTTTTGACTTGATTATTTGTCTAGCGTTGTTATTTTACACCGATTKTTTTAACACTGGAAATATCAAACAGAAAATTGAAATATGTTTTAAAACAAAATAGTTCAATTAAAATGATGTCAGATGTATACGATCTATATTGTTTAGTCTATAAGGGAATAAAACATATCATGGGCCATTTTGATCAATTATTTATCTTTTGGCTCGGATTTTGGCATAAATTTTAAATTGGAATACCTTTTTTTATGAGCTGTCTACTAAATTTGGTACAAACTCTGTGCAGTTTTAATTTAATAAAGTAAGTGAAGTCGTCATTAAATAACATCTTTAGATTTCTTTTGCATTGGAATAAACAAATGAGGCGATTAACTAGATTTGACTAATTTTTCTTCTCACATAGCGCCCTTTTTAGGCTTTACTTTTTTCTTTATCCTTGTTATTCCTCAAACTCCAAAAGTGGTTGGCTACTCCCCAAAGCCACCCTCCCCCTCCCCCTCCCCCTCCCCTCTCCATTCGTACTATAAGGTACCTCAAGAATTATGCTCGTTAGTCGACCCAATTTTTGTCATGCAATCATCTTGCTTTTCTTTCTATTTTCAGATGCCCAACAACTAAAAAGTGACAAACAGACGAAGTAACCAGAAAACAGAAGTCATTTACTCTTACTATTACTAGTGTTATTTAGTCTTTTATTATTTTAATCAAGTGTTTTTTTTTCGGTGGCTGACAAGGGACATTCAGTGAGTTAGACAAGTTGCCGCAAATAATAAACCAGTTGCTGCAAAGTTATATGAGAGAAACAAGTTGCGGCAAATTAATATTAGAGAAACAAGTTGCGACAAATATAAGAAACGCGTTGCTGCAAACTTAATAAAAAAAGAATTCTTAGAAAATTAAAAACTGCTGGACATTATGGAGGTTAAAACGTACCGTTGTCGACATGGCTAAAAATTAAAACCGTACCGACTCCCGTACGAATAACAATTGCGAATAATCCATACG